TGCTGGTGCTGTGCTGGTGCTGGTGCTGGTGATGATGAGCAGGAGGAGGAGGAGGAGGAGGAGGAGGAGGAGGAGGAGGAGGAGGAGGAGGAGGAGGGGCCTGGCGTGCTACTCTGGAGAGAGGCGGCTGCAGGGGTGAGGGTGGAAGGAAGGGAGCAGGCCAGGGGTCACCGGGGGAGAGGGGGAGAGCGGGGGCTAGGGGACGGACACATGAGAGGGGAGAGGAGGGGAACCAGGTGGAGCTTCGGGAGGGGGGAGGGAGCATTCGGGGGCAAGAAGGGGGGTGCATCGGGGGGGGAGGGGAGGGGAGGAGAGGGAGTTGGAGGGGAGGGCGGGGGAGCAGCACGGAGGAGCAGCGCGGGGAGAGGGGTGAGGGGACGGTGGGCCCGGCGAGGCGGCGACCGTCTGGACAGTTTCGCCTCCGCGGGCGGACTTCTGGCGGCCAGGCCAGCGCGTCATCCTCATCCTACAGGATTCGTTTCGGTCCGAATTTGGTCTCGATGCCGCTCAGTCCACTTCGATTCCGATGTTCCGACGATCGGATGCGGCCCCACGCCTGCGTGGCGTAGCTGTGCTCCATGGCGTGGCCGATCCGATTTGATTTCGGCTCCGTGCCGATGCAGTCCGATGCAGCCGATCGACATCCTCCTCCTCCTCCTCCTCCTCCTCCTCCTCCTCCTCCTCCTCTCCTCCTCCTCCTCCTCCTCCTCCTCCTCCTCCTCCTCCTCCTCCCCTCCTCCTCCTCCTCCTCCTCAGGCATCCAGCCGTCGTGGTCGACGAACCGGCGCGCCGCAGCGTACTGGCCCTCCTCCTCCTCTTCCTCCTCTCCTCCTCCTCCTCCTCCTCCTCCTCCTCCTCCTCCTCCTCCTCTCCTCCTCCTCCTCCTCCTCCTCCCCCGCCCGATTCAAGTGGCTTCCGCCATTCCGCCCACCCCCGAAGAAGGAAAGAAGCCAGTGGAAGCGATCATGTTGAGGTAGAATATGCAGTTGTTCCGTTTCGCGTGCGTCCCCGGATCGCGCACTTACGTGGAGTGCGTGGTCAGTGGCGGGCCACTTACGGGAAGTCATCACACAAATAGAAAACAGTGAGTGCCCAGAGGTCTTGGCGGGATGCGCGGGGCAAGCGAGCAGGCACGCTGAAGTGAACGTCTTGGCAACAATGCCGGCAATGCGATGACTGCCAGACACGAGCGAGCACGCTTAGAGTGAGTGTCCAGGCAAGCTTCTTGGCAACAGCGGTGGCGACGCGATGTGCGTCGCAAGCGAGCGGGCGCGCTTGGAGGCTGCGTTTCCTGACAAAATCGTCGACAAATGGTTGCTGGACGCGAGCGGGTATGTATTCGTAAAGTGTGCTTGCGGGCACGCTTCCTGGCAACAGCGCTGGCGACACAATGTGCGCAGCAAGCAAGTGGGCTTGAAAGCGAGCTTCCTGACAACATCGGACGGGGCTCTCGGACGCCTTCAGAGAGTTATAGAGCGCTCTCAGTCGGTCGCGGCGCCCGATACATCCTCGAGAACAGCCGGACCTCAGAGATCCTCGATGTGTCCAGGTCCGATGTTGTCCTGGTCTTGGCTTCGTCGTACAAGAACGCCGTCAGCGCGATGATTGCCGGGCGCGAGCTGGCATGCTTGAGGTGAGTTTTCTGACAGTTTTGCTGTGAACGCAAAAACTGTATTGCAATCGAGTGGGAACGGAGGTGAAGTCCACGGGAGTCTCCCAGGAGGGACACGGGAGGAACATTACCTCAGGTCATCTGTGTTGTTGGAGAAATTTCTGGGCAATACTATTTTAAGAAAAAAACCTATTAGAGTAATGGTCATGTGCGAAGCATGCATTCCAGAGAGGGGGGGCGCGGCATGGAAAAATAAAATCGGGAAAGTTGCAAGCGCGCATTGTTGACACCACTCTGGCTCCCCTGCATAACTGGCCACGTTCAGCGTGTAGCTCTTTGAAGGACGCTCAGCACAGAGACCGTACATAGCATACAAAGGTTTGTATGTACAGTGGCGCACAGGTCACGGGGCGCACAGCACGGCGCGCTCGACACACATGTCACAAAGTTCTCGGCATGGATGTCCGTTGTTCTGGCCTGCACGGCGAGACATTGTGGGAACGGCCACCGCTCCCTCTTGCACAATAAAACATGCACATGCAGCAGCATACGGTTCTCTTGCTCATTCTACCTCCCCCTGTAAGACAGAGAATGTTCCCTTCGCAACGTTTGCGCTGTAGGCGCCCTCTTTTCCAAAGGCCTGCCGTGCGCCGGCAACAGCTTCCTTCGCCGTCAGCGTCCCCGACCGTCGCCGAGTGTCCCGGGACCTGGCGCTGCTCCCGCGCCGCCACTCTCATCCGCCGCCTTTGTCCCCGACTTGTCCCCAACCCTGGTGCTGCCCTGCGGCGCCGCCAGTTTCACTCGCCGTCCTTGCCGCCAGCTCTCCCCGATTGCCCCTGGCCGTGCTGCTGCCGAGCGCCGCTCCCCAGTCTCTTCCGACAGTCGAAGACGGCCCCAGCGTCCTCCAAGATAGCCCCAAGGCAACTCGCCAAGGGCTTCGCTCAAGCAGCACCTGCACAGACAAGGCAGGGTTCGCGTAGCATCCGCCCCCGATCCTGGAGGCGCGCGCCACCCCGTCCTAGTTTCCGAGTGTCCCAGACGGTTCCTGGCATTTGTGCTATTGCGCCGCCGCGAACTCCCCCCGCCAGCCTTGTCCCACACTGCCCCGAGCTGCCCCCAGCTCTGGCGTTGCCATGCGCTGCCGCCAACCTTCTTCGTCCTTGCCCCCTCGACTGCCCATGACTGCCCCCAGCCGCGGTGCTGCCCTGCGCCTGTTCGTAAGTCCTCAGTCGCTGTTGTCCCCATGCGCCCCCGACTGTCACAGGCCGCGGTGCTGCCTCGCGCCGCCGCCCATCTCCTTCGCCGCCACTCTCCGACCGACCCTGGCGTCGGTGCTGCTCTGCGCCTCCAAAAGTGCTGTCTACAGCCCTCGACTGTCCTCGACTGCCCACACCCTGGTGATGCCGCTCCTGCCCTGCGAGGCTCCTTCGCCGATGGCCATCCTGGAAGCAGTCTTGGAGCCATATTGGACTGGAGAGCCGAGGAGGCTGGGGCTGGCGCGGCCTTCCGTGGGGCCAGCGGTCTGGGCCGAAGGCCACAGGGGACCATCTGGAATGGCAAAAACAGTTCACAAGTACGGCACGCCAAGCACCACGTTGCAGGTAAAGGGGACGGTGGATGATCTAGTAGCCATCGACCCATCCCGCCAAAGGCACCTTGGGATCTCTTGGAGAGCCTCTTGGAGGCAACATGGAGGCTTTGGGAGGCCTTTTTTTTCTGAGGAGCGTATGGGGTGCTTGCTCTCCGATTGTGTTGTGGTGGTGGTGGTGGTGGTGGTGGTGGTGGTGGTGGTGGTGGTGGTGGTGGTGGTGGTGGTGGTGGTGGTGGTGGTGGTGGTGGTGGTGGTGGTGGTGGTGGTGGCGGTGGCGGTGGTGGTGGGAGGGGAGGGGGGGGGGCCGAGGAGCTTTTGCAATTCCTTTGGGGGAATTTGATTGGCCCTCCCAGGGCCGCCTACGATCCGATTCGATGCGACTCTATTCGCCAGCCAGGGCCGCGATTCCGATTCGATTCGATTCGATTCGGCTCGACTCACCGACCCAGGGCCAGCCAGAGCCCGGCGCAGCGATCCGATCTCGATTCGATTCGGGACGATTCGCTGGCGATGCGACCCGTTTCCGATCCGATCCGACTGAGCGATTCGATCCAGCGCAGGCCTGCCCTCCTGCCCCTGCCCAGCGAAGAGGCTCCAGGCGGCCTCCCCGGCGGCCCGTGCACACGGCGGGCGCGGCGGGGCCTCCGCCTCGGCCCACGCCACGGGCTTGCTGGCGGACCCGCGCGCGGGCGCTGCCGGCCGCGGGGGCGGGCTGTCGCGGCGTGCGATGGGCGCGTTCCCTCTTGGGGCCTTCTCGATAGGCTCTTGGGCCCCTCTTGGGACTCGGGGGCGGTTTGGGAACGATCTTGAAGGAGTCTTGGGTCGTCTCGGACGCTTTCAAGAAACGAAAAGGCGAGACTGTTAAAAATCATGCAGACGTTTGGTGCTCTGGGGTGCACTGCCTGTTTGGGCTTCCGGGGCCGGCTTCCAAGACGTCCGCAGAGAACCCATCAGAGCCCCAGGTCGGGCCCCTGAGGCCACCCGATAGTGTGCTGGAAGTTTGCAGTCGCCGTCGTCGCCGTCGTCGACGTCGACGTCGACGTCGACGTCGTCGTCGTTGCCGTCGTCGTCGCCGTCGTCGTCGTTGCCGTCGCCGTCGCTGGCGTAGTCATCGTCGTCGTCGCCCGTCGCCCGTCGCCCGTCGCCCGTCGTCGCCGTCTGAAGCCTGAACCAGGGGTCGGAGGCTATGAGAAAAGACACGCGGAGAACCCCGACAGATCTTGGAAATGCGCAGGGGCGCCGAGAAATCTGGAGCGATAAGCGAGAAACAGGGAGACAGAGGGGGGGGCGAAGGAGAGACGGGCCGAAAGGGCGTGGAGTGGAGCGATGCAGAAAGGGCGAATTGCCAATAAATATTTGCCCGCTGGTTGCCAGGCAAAGCGGGCAGGTGACCACTGGCGAGCGCAGGCTGGAGCTCAAGGGCACGCCGGGCCCTGTGTTCAGTGCGCTGCTGCAGCTCGGGCTGCAGGCCCGGCACCCAGAATGCAGGCGTATGTCTGGCCAGGATGGGGAGGCAGCGCGGTAATAGGGACACGACGACGAGGACGAGGAGCATTGTTTGATTAAGGAAATTGGAGGACGGCGAGTTGGGTCAACAGTAGTTAGCCTTCGGGGGGGGGGGGGCCCTTTCGTCGCCACGGCTGGATACAGCGCGGTAAATTGGTACGTTTCGACCCCAGGAGGAATTCAGGGACCAATTTTGAGCGGATTTCCTTTCACCACTCCCTCTTGACAGATTTTCGTTGGATTTGTCCAGCTCAGACCCCCGGCCGCTCCAAGAGTAATGCTTAAGTAAGGAAATGGGCGAGGGCAGCATCAGCACTCGCGCAGTGGAACGGCACTCATTCGCAAAGGCGATGAGGCTTGGCAAGCTAATGTTCGCATCAGCTGCCACCACTAGATATACTTACTCGCAGCCTATTAGTTGTGCCGCATGCTGTTGACTTCCACTGACTTTTTCCTGGTGGCCTCCTCTTGCAACTGAGGAGCAGCGGTACGAGCACTCGGTCAGCACTGGCGTGAATGATTTGCCGTGGGAGTTGTGCGACATGCGGGAAGAAGGTGATCCGCAGGATTGTTAGAGTTTCTGCCGGTGCTGTTTCAGAAATCCTCTACTGAACAATTGCTGGCCCGAACTAGGGTCAAACGGCGCATCTGCCCATTTGGCATAACATCATCCTTTTCAATATTTCTCTGCGAAGTTGCCCGTCGGGATATCACATGAAGAGGGCGCAAGGAAGTAGCGAGCGGTGTTCCAGGAGTAGCGGGTACAACATGCGCGATCAGTCTGTCGAAATTCAACATGTTTGCCTTGATATGTGTTTGGCTCCACGCGTCATCTGTAGTACTGGAGAGTCCGAACACCCTGTACTGAGCAGATGGGCGCTGAAACGACAGTCTGGTAAGTAGGCTCGCGCTTTAATCTGCAGCCCCGGATGAAATATTTCCCATAGGGTGCGGCGCAGAACACGGCCTGCCCGCACGTAGAAAGTCGGGGTAGCGCAGTCGAGCAGTGTAAGAAAATATGTGCCCACAATCGCCCCATGACCGCGTAGTTCTGGCACGTGTGCGCGTTGACGTGATGAGTCTCTCGCACGATGGTTGCAACAGCCGCGTGCACTGCTAATCCGTACTTGTTGGTCCCACGGCTTCCTTGAATCCTGCATTCAGCGATCGACAGGGTGATAAATCGCAACAGCGACGTAGTGTTACACGCATGTATTCGCATCTGACAGGGCACTCGTCACAAAGAGGACGGTGAGCACACGCACATCAGGCCAGATTTCCTTTCATGATGCGGACCGTACCGCTTCCGCTGGCGAAGACGATCTTCCGGATCAAACCAGAGCAAAGTGGTGTTCAAGTTGCGCCGCGCACATGGGATGAGGATCGGCGGGGGGCCATTCGAATACATGCATTGGGCGAGCTGATTTTACAAAACTGATATGGCGAGCACGCGCGCGCCATGCCAGAGTTCTGACGATGACGCGGACTATACAGCTCACGTCTGCGAATGCTTCCGGATGTTAGTACGGACAAAACGGCAATTTATAGAAAACAAAAACCATTGGATCCACACGGCAATGTTATGCCTTCGTTGCGACAATGCGGTATCATATTGAGACATGCTCGGCGGAGAGCAAGATCTGTCATCACAAGAAATAGTGTTGTTAGTAACGCAGCGACGCATGAATGTATATACATAATATGGCGGGGCATCACTTGTCCAAAAAGGCGACGGCGCGTATGTGCACACCGGACCCGGATTCCATCCGTGACGCGAGGTGCACAGTATCCGTTGATGCATACGCATACATATATAAATATTTATATACATATATATATATATACCGATACACACATATATATAGTCCAGGGTTTGGCCCCCCCCCCAATGCTGATGCCATTGGGCCCCCCCCCGCGCGATGGTCCCCCCCGCCCCCCCCTGTGGGCGTGGCGTGGTGCTGCGCTGCGGTTCCCCCCCCCCCTGTGGATGTGGTGTGGTGCTGTGGTGGTTCAGAGGTGGGCGTGGCGTGGTGTTGCACTGCGGTGCCCCCCTCCCCCCCCCTGTGGATGTGGTGTGGTGCTGTGGTGGTTCAGAGGTCGTCGTCGTCGTCGTCGTCGCCGTCGTCCTCGTCGTCCTTGTCGTCCTCGTCGTCCTCGTCGTCCTCGTCGTCCTCGTCGTCCTCGTCGTCGTCGGCATCGTCGTCGTCATCATCGTCGTCGTCGTCATCGTCGTCGTCGCTGTCGTCATCGTCGTCATCGTCGTCGTCGCCGCCGCCGCCGGCGTCGTCGCCGCCGCAGCCGTCGTTGTCGTCGTCGTGGTCGTCGTCGTCGTCGTCGTCGCCGTCGTCGCCGTCGTCGCCGTCGTCGCCGTCGCCGTCGCCGTCGTCGTCGTCGTCGTCGTCGTCGTCGTCTCTGGGACCATACCATCTGGGGGGGGGGGGCCCGAGGAATCCTGGGACCATACCATCTGGGGGGGGGGGGGGCCCGAGGAATCGTGGGACCATACCATCTGGGGGAGGGGGGAGGGGGCCCGTGGGCCCTCGACCCTGGATCATATACATATGTGTGTATCTATATATATATATATACATATTTATGTGCATAGATGTGTAAATATATGATAGATATAGAACATATATATATATGTTCTATATATATAAATCATACATGTGTATATGCTATATATATAGATATATATATATATATGTATACATATATATATATATATATATCATCGATATATATATATATATATATATATATATATATATATATCGGAGTAGGCCGGGGGGGGCCGGCTGCTGCCTTTGGTCGCCATGGGGCCCCCCGGGCCATATTTTCTGGCACCTCTCACGAGGATCGTGGCCCCCTCGCCGAAAATTCCAGCCCTCAGTCTCCAGAAGCCTCCGAAGAGGCCACCGGAGGCCCCAGTGGTCCCCTGAGGGCCCCAAGAGAGCCCCAAGAGGGCCCCTAAGGGCTCCAAAAGGGCCTTCAGGAGGCAAAAATCTGCACAGTTCCTTTGTAAAACGTACATTTTCGGCATACTCGCTGGCTTCGTCTTCACAGTGCCCTAGACGCCCCCGCGGAGCCCCAAGACAGCCCAAGAGCGACCCAAGAGGGCCCCAGACGGCCCAAAAGGGTCGGCCTGTGGGGCTCACCGAACCCCCCGAGACGGCCCAAGAGGCATCAAAGCCGGCCCAGGAGGCCCCCAAGATGGCCTCACGGAGGCCCAAGAGGGCCCCGTTCGAAATCATGTTCCCGGAAGCCTCTCCGGGAACATGACTTCCGGGTTTCGAGGACGCCCTAGACGGCCCCAGGACAGCCTCAGCGAGGCCCAAGAGGGCCCGAGATGGCTTCAAGATGGCCGAAGAGGGCCCCAAGAGGGCCTTCAAGAGGCAAAAATCAGCCCGTCTCCGTAGTAAAACGTACGGACTCGGCGCGAGACAACTGGCGACCGCAGTTGCCGTCCCTTCGTGCTGGGCGAGTGCGAACCTGGCGTTCAGTTTGGACGGAACGTGTCGGGTATGTTGCCAATCAGGGCTGCGCCAGGTTAGGCCACCCCCAAGGGCAGGTTCGGGAATGGGTCGTAGCAACACGACGGCGACGACGAGGACGACGACGGCACGCCCCAACACGCTCCCCAAGACGCCCCAAACCCATGCTCCCAGAAGGCCTTCTGGGAACCCGATTCATACGGCCTCTGCTCCCCTACACAACCATTTTCCTCGAAGGCTTTTCGGAATGCAGATTGGTATGCGTGGACTGTGGTCTACTACTTCAGTGGAGCAGTATATTCGTCAAGGCCTGGGGCTGCTAGAACCTGAGCGCGCGCGATGGTTCTAGTGTATATATATATACACAAATGTACATACATATATATATATATGTATACACACATATGTATACATCTATACATATACATATACATATACATATACATATACATATACATATACGTATACATATACATTTACATATACATATACATATACATATACATATAACGGCGCACCGGGCCCGGAGGCCCAGGCCCGGAACCTCGACCACAAATGCGGCCCCGCGGCCCCGGCCCGCCTCTGGGAGGCCGAAAATCGCCCCGGGGAGCCCTCAGACAGCAATCCCGACGGCCCCAGACCGTCTCGAGACACCCCCAAGACGCCGTCCAGGGGTCTATGGCGACGCACGATGCGTTTTAAACTGCCCCGGAGGCCCCCACGGCGCCCCGAGAGGCCTTTAAGATGCCGCCCAAGAGCGCCCCAAGAGAGCAAAATCGCTGATGTTCATTGATATTTTAAATGTTTGTTGCATTCTCGCTGTTCCGTGTTTCCGGCGCTAAGTCACTGCCCAAAAGGCCTTTTTTCTTTCTTCCCAAGGTAGGCTCGAGGCGTCTCAAGGTTTGTGTGAAACTTCGTCCTCGTGCGAGCGCACGCTCAGCTCTTGTCACTTTCCGTGGTGCATCTTGCGGCGGTCTTCACCGCTCCTGCAGCCAAGGGCCTGACATGCCCCTCCTTATATGCCTTCCGGCACAGCGCCCTGTCGGCGCTGTCCAGGGACTCCACAAGGTCGTTGGGGAGAGGCTCTACAGCCCCCGAGCGTAGCATCTCCGTGCATGCGTTGGGGGGGATCCCGAGAGGTGACGAATGCAGCGGAAGCGCTGCCGGAAGTCTTTATGGCACACAGGGCAAACGCCGTCCGCCGAGACGTACCTCCTCGCTTCGTTCCTGACGCCGTGCACGGCGCGCTTGTGTTGCACGAGCCCTAATCTGTTTGCAAATGCTGGTGGATTGGGCCCGGGGCACATGTCGCAAGCGAAATTGAGCTGTACCCCGTCCAGCGAGGCACAGCTGTTACACTTGCTTTCTGAACAGTGAATCGCATCAACGATATCGTGCCATCGCTGGTCTTGGCCGCATATCACGTCCAACAATTGTCTTGCGTTTTCGCTGGGGTCTCCCAGCGGTGCACATTGGCTGCTCAGCATTTGCACCGCGGTTAGGTCATCGAGCACGACCCGCGTATATGTCATCATTTTGCCATTACGCTTCGATGACAGCAGCGCCAGCAACTGTGTTCTGCCAGAGAGGAGAAGCCTCCGCAGATACCTCAGTCTAGCCAGCATAGCCAAGCAATCTATGGATGCCGCCCCCAAGGATTGCCGCACTTGCAGGTCCGTGCCTTGCCCTGGCCCAAACCGGACCTTGTCCGCAATGCGCCGTAGCACCCTCATGTACACTTGGTTCAACGTCCGCACGAAATGTGCGTCCGGCGTGACAACGTGCGCATGGAACATCAGCTTTGTCAAGATACGTGCCTTCACGGCGTGCATCTTTGTAGCGACGGATATGTTCGGAGCGCCAAATGCACGGATCGCAACTGGCGCGTATGCGTCCATGGCTGCTGATGCCCTCTTCTCAGCATCGGGTTTACAGGTGCCTGCGATGGAGACAACTGTTCCGAGATGCTTATACTTCGACACAATGGACAATTTGATAGCGCCATCGTGATCTGATTTGACGTACACGCCGTCCTCGTGCCTGTGCTGTTCCCAGTGCGCGCTGGCGTTTTTGCCCCTATACCGGAGCATGCACTCCGTCTTACCCGGAGCCCAATTTATCACCATTGCGCATAAGCGGAACAGCCGGCACAATACTTCTAGCAACGTCTGGATAGCACGATCGAGGAGCTGTGGGGAAGCAGCCACTAACACGATACATTCGTCGTCCACGAACGTGGCGTCGATGATTTCCTCCTCGGTGGCGGCTTCCTCCCCTTCGTCCTCGGTAGTGCCCCACAGGACTCCCCGACGGCATCGCCCGCGCGCCGCGACGCCAATGTCGGCGCGCCCCCCCGCGAGGATCGCGCCCGCTTCCCCCCCTTCTTTTACTCCTTCTTTGCCCGCGCACTTAAAAGTCCAAGGCTGCGGGCGCAGCGCAGCGCGGAGTCCCCGCGACGCGCGCAGGTCGCCCCGGAGGGCTCCCAGCGACGCGCGCGGGTCGTCCGCTGCGCGGAGCAAAGAGAGCTAGCTGGCTGGCTGATAGCGGGCAAGGCTTTTTCCGCTGGGCAGAGCGACGACGGGCGAGCGAGGCGCGGGGCAGAACGCAGCACGGAGTCCCCGCGACGCGCTGGTCGCCCCGGAGGGGTCCCAGCGACGCGCGCGGGTCGTCCGTTGCGCGGGGCAAAGAGAGCTGGCTGGCTGATAGCGGGCAAGGCTCTTGACGCTGGGCAGAGCGACGACGGGCGACCAAGGCGCTTGGCAGAAGACAGCACGGAGTTCCTGCGACGCGCGCCGGTCGCCCCGAGAGGGTCCCAGCGACGCGCGCGGGCCACCCGCGGCGCGAGGCCAAACAAGTAGTCAGACCGTCGAGAGACGGCGAGGCTCGG